GCTCCGCTCACGAACGTCGCGTCTCCCACCACCAGGGCTGCCGCCCTGCATCCAGACACCCCCAAGACCAGCCAAAGTGACCGGCTTTGGTCCAAAGGACACACCCGACCGCCGAAACCGCAGCATACGTCCCGCCTCGAACAACGCCGGAGCTGCATCAGCCCGCACCCGGCCGGGGAAAGGGGGAGGAGGGGGAGCGGACGCATCCACGACCGGCACACCCCCGTGCCGGTGACGGGTGGCCCGAGCTCTCGCCGGCGCCTCCCATCCCTCCAGCCTAACTCCCCACCGGACACCCCCTATGTCGCCCCACCTCGGCAGCCGGCACAGCTCCACGCAAGGCCACCAACACACACCCGTCCGCCGTCAAGGAAAACCCCAAGGTCCACCGCCGACCACCAAGAAAGCTCACCAGGGAGCCCATCCGCGCTGCCCGCCGCCGCCCAACAGCCGGAGCACCTGGAGCCGGCTAGCCCGTCCACCGACCTGCCGCTGCTGCGACGCTGCAGCCCATGCCACCCTCGGCCCGCGTCGCCCGGCCACATATCTGGCCGCGCCGCCGCCGATCTTGGAGAGCCGAGCACGCACCATCACCTGGCCGCCCGCCGCGGGGGAACAGAGGCACCGGAGCTCCGCCTCTGCCCGGCACAGCTCCACGCTCCGACCCGAGGCGCCGGCCCACGCCAGCACCGCCCGAACAGGAGGACCACGAGGCCCCGCCGCTGCCGGCGACGGTTGGGCTTCGCCCGGCCGCACCCTCGGGCGGTGGTGAAGGAGGAGGAGGGGAGAGGGGGCGGAGACCGGCGGGATTTAGGGTTGCCCCCCGGTCGCCTCGCGGGAGCGACGCGGGGGGAGCAGGGCTCCAGTTTTTTCTACACTTTGCTTCACCATAGCTCAAAATCTGCATCATAGTATTAACTGGGCATAGTTATAGTTATGAATATGATGAGCTTATTTGATTGTTTCTACACCGCATGAAGTTTATATTAGTGAACATAACTCTCTGTTATCCCAGGTTATTGATTTGATCTACCATTCTATGTCATACATTTAGGAAAGAAAAGCTTAGGTATTACAATCTAAATTGCTATCTTCTGTACATGTTTCTAGGATCTTTCTGTTTCCTTCTCCAGTGATAAAGGGCATCAAGTTAACCACTTTGGATACATGGGGGCGAAAGAGAGTGACAGGATGTTGATGGCAGTGGAATCTAGCATTGGTGAAAGACAAAGCAGTGTGGCTGAGGCTAGTAATATATAGCTGCTAAACCTGTTCCTTTGTTCGATACACTAATTAGTGGAATTAACCTTTCTTTCCCTTCTTGTTTGTGCTTCATATAGGCCTCTGATGTCTGGTCCCAGCCAAGCAGTGAAAATTTCAGACAGTGCATTGTTTCAAACTCTCATAAAAGTAAGTTGGCTCATATATCACAAACATGTTTTTTCTATATATTCTATGCATTTGTTAACATGATATGGTCGCATGTTCTTAATTTGTAGAGCAAGATTCTCGCAGTAATGGTTACATTCTCATAAACGCAAATGGAGGTCTGAATCAAATGCGATTTGGGGTGTGACTACTACCCTAAAAATCATTTTTGTGCATCCATTAGTACTCTTTGCCATGGTATCTGATTCTCTTTTACATCTCAGATATGTGACATGGTTGCTGTTGCTAAGATTTTGAAGGCAACACTGGTTCTACCTTCACTTGATCATACATCCTACTGGGCAGATGACAGGTGGGCCCCTTTAACCTTAACTCTTCATTCCTAATCCCCTATAGCTTGTTAATCAATGCACTCATATATCCCTTTCCTCCATTTTTTAGTGAATTTAAGGATCTTTTCAATTGGAGACACTTCATTGAATCACTGAAAGAAGACATTGATATTGTTGAAACACTACCTCCTGCATACAAGCATATAGAGCCTCTGGCCAAAGCTCCGATATCCTGGTCAAAGGTTAAAAACTAGAAAAATTTTAACCTATATTTACATCGATATATGGTGGAAAGGCTCACTAAGTATTTTATCCTGGCAGGTGAATTATTACAGAGATGAAATACTCCCTCTCTTGAAGAAACACAGAGTCATTTACTTTACACATACAGATTCTCGCTTAGCAAATAATGACCTTCCTAGTTATATTCAGAAGCTAAGATGCCGAGTTAACTACAGATCTTTGAAGTATTCTCATACGATCGAAGATCTTGGTGCTACCTTAGTTTCGAGGATGCGCCAGGATGGAAGCCCACATCTTGCTCTTCATCTAAGGCAAGCTCTATGCTCCTACATTCATCTCAGGATGCTTTTGTCTGCACAATTTTTTTTCTCACTTTGTATACTTACCAGCATTCTTCTAGTATTTTGGCATCTTGATTACCGTAGTTTGTGTTGTAGCTTTGATTTATCATTTCCATCTGACCATGAAATGAAATCTTGGTTTACCTGTCTCTAAAATATACATGCAGCTGGAATTGGCTTGAACATATTAATTTTCTGTCGGCATATTATGCAAGTCTATGTCCGTGCTAGCACAGGTGAATCTATTAGGGCCTGTCTGTTGATCTCGCCAGTAAAGATAGGTGATTTCATGAACCCTGAATTGAAGCGAGTCTCATTTTAGTTATGTTTTATTGATAAATAGAGTGCCTATGTACATCACTGGTGAATGATCTAGGCGTGCTAGTTGGCACACATTTCACAAAATCATCTTGTGAAGAAGTTCTGGATTGCTTCAAATCATTAGGTTTATTGAGAAGTTCTACTCTTAAGTTTTTGGAACTACAGCAGCAAACAATGCCACAGAACTATGGCGCCAACATTCCAGAAGTTGTTGAGCTATGTTGTAGCCCAGCAGACCCTTTCTTGAAATCTTTCATAACATTTTAATGTTTTACTGAACTCTCTCTAGATGCACCAGCTAAAACACTTAGAAGTGAGAAACCATGTAGTACATACTGCGGCATTTACTTCCACGAAAATAAAATGGGCTAACATTGTTGTTATTAGTTGTTCTTTTATGTACTTGAAACATGAGGAGGCTTTCTTTAACCAATTAATAATACTATGTTTTGCAGGTATGAGAAGGATATGCTAGCTTTTACTGGTTGCAGCCATGGCTTGACATCGGATGAGGAAGAGGAGTTACGTAAGATGCGGTATGAGGTCAGTCATTGGAAAGAGAAAGACATTAACGGAACCGAGAGAAGAAGTATTGGTGGCTGTCCTTTGACTCCAAGGGAAACTTCACTCCTGTTGAAGGGATTGGGTTTCACACGGGACACCAGAATTTACTTAGTTGCAGGAGAAGCTTTTGGCAATGGAAGCATGCAAGCGCTGCTGGACGATTTTCCCTATATCTATTCTCATTCTACCCTTGCAACAGAAGAGGAACTTGAGCCCTTCAAAAATCATCAAAACATGCTTGCTGGTCTTGACTATATTGTAGCTCTCCAGAGTGATGTCTTCATGTACACATACGATGGAAATATGGCAAAAGCTGTGCAAGGCCATAGGCGTTTCGAGGACTTCAGGAAGACAATTAATCCAGATAGGTAACACCTTTCCCTTGTTAGAAGTACTATGTGCATATGTCCCAATGACCCAACAGGCAATAACCCAATTTTAGGTGTTGCATATGACTTGTACTTTTTGTACTTTCCTTTTTCTTTCTGAATGTGAAAGTTCTCCTGCAGGATGGATTTTGTGAACCTGGTAGATGAATTTGATGAAGGAAGGATCCCTTGGGAGGAATTCAGTTCAGAAGTGAAAAGGTTGCACAAAGATAGAACAGGAGCTCCATATTTCAGGGAGCCTGGAGAGTTTCCGAAGCTGGAGGAGTCTTTCTTTGCAAACCCCTTGCCTGGCTGTATATGTGAGAAACATAGTGAACAATGAACAAGTAACCCAGCTCAATCGATGATTCTTTGACAAGCTGTGCCAGCAGAGAATATAGGGCCTCTGCTTTCCTACCAGCTGCAGCATGCATAGTTTCTTCGTCCCTGATCATTCATAGTCGAGACATGGGGCGTTTGCGCCTACATTTTCAAGGGTATCCCCTGAAGTTCAGTGCAAGAAAATTTTGACAGGCGATCAAAATATTCAAGCGATTGGCGGTGGTAAACTAATTCTCATACGACCAAAGCACGTGGGGGTGAGGCATATCGCAGCGATCTGAAGCGGTATCTAAGAAGTAACTACGAGTTGGCGGAGTCCGTGTAGGTATCCCTGGTAAATGTTCTTTTCTTTGTTGCACTTATATTGTGCCGATTACTGCTGCTGCTGCTGCTAAGTACGAGTAGTGTTTTGTGTAGACAACATTGGTCGTGTGCAGTTGTTCAAAATGTGGGTAACCTTTTGCCCCTACCTGTACAACTGGAAATTTTGCCACTTGTATTTTGTTCAGATATATGAAGAAATATACAATGGAGAGGCTCACATCGAATACTACTTACTTATCCTGTTTCTGTACCGATTCTACAAGAACTTATGCTCATTAGGGCATCTCCAGCCGTTGGCCCCCCAGGGGGCGTCTAAAAGCGCCGCCTGGGGGTGAGCCGGCGCAAAAAATAGCCCTGGGGGCGAGTCGGTCCCCAGCCGTCGGCCCCCAGGGGCCGTCCCCAGGCGCGTATTAAAAAAAAAGAAGGGCCGTTCGGCGAAGTTATGATAAAAAGTAGTTAAATTTCGGCTAAACATGGCAAATTTTGGCGAAATTCGCGCATTTTCATTATATTAACCTAATCTAAAAAAGAAAGGGGCCGAAGTTGTCGCCGCCATCGTCGTCGTCGGCCTTCTCCTCCTTGACGCGGGCGCCCCTGCTGGACCCGGCGTCGCCATGGCGGACTAGCGGCGGCGCGTCATCGTCGTCGTCGTCGCTGTCGCGTAGGACGACGACCCCGTCTTCATCGCGGCCGCGTCGACGCTCCTCGAAGCGGCGCAGGGCGGCGCGCTGGCGCTCCTTCACCTTCTCCCGGCGCGCCTTCTCCATCGCAATGGAGTCCTGGCGCGCCCATTCTAGGGCCGCGTCGTCGTCGTCGAACTCCGCCTTCACCGGCGCCAGCCCCGGCTCCGTCTTCACCGGCGCCAGCCCTGGCTCCGTCTTGGGCTTGACGAAGCGCGGAGGAGCCGACGAGGAGGAGGCGCGCCGGCCGCCCTCGTTGATGACGATGCCGGCGTTGCGAGTGCGCCGGCCGAGCGGCGACTCCGCCGCGGGCTCGGCCTTGACGCCGAGCAGGGCCGGAGTGCCGGAGGAGTGCCATGAGGATCAGGAGGAGGAAGAGGAGGAGGAGGACCCGAACCTCCTTGGCGCCCATGGCCCGATGCGTCGGTGCTGCGCCGGGGGGTACACCAACGGCGGGTCGTTGCCGCCCTCGAGGTACGTGAGCACACCCTCGAGTGTGCGGCCGGGGACGCCCCACCAGAGGTGGCGCCCCTCGCTGTTCTGCCGGCCGCCGACCACCGGCGCGCCGTTGGTGGACGCCAATCGCTGCTGCTGGCGGCGCTCGAAATACGCCGCCCAGGCCGCGTGGTTGTCGGCGGCGTACTGGGGGAGGGAGAGTTGGGCGTCGGTGAGGGACGCGCGCACGATCTCGACCTCCTCGGCGAACTACTTCGGCTTCGCCACGGCGTCGGGCAACGGGGGAATGGGCACTCCCCCGGCGCTGAGTCTCCACCCCGTCGGCCCGGCGCGCATGTCCGGCGGCGTCGGGATGTTCGCCTGGAACAGGAGCCAGGACTCCTGTTCGCGGAGCGAACGGCAGCCGAATCCGTTGGCCGCCACCTCGTCTCCGGGGAAGCGTTCTGCCATGGCGACGGCGGGGCTGGGCGGGCTCGGGAGAGGTAGAGTGAGGGGCTGGCCGGCGGCGCTCGGGAGAGGCAGGGAGAGGGAGGGGCTGGACGGCGGCGAGGGGCGGGGCTGGTGTGGGCACAGGCGAGTGGAGGACGCCGGCTTTTATAGCCGGGCCGCGCCCGTGTGTACGCGTGCGAGGGAGGGGAGGCGTTGGCGCGCCGTCCCGTGAAGCGCCGCCCGTGAGGAATCAATGGCAAGGCTGACCGGCGGCAGCCTTGCCATTGATTCCCCGCGGGAACCGAGGCCGTTGGGGGAAGACGAGGCGCCGAGTCGCTGACGCGGCTGGCCCGCGTCTTTTTCGCGCCAAAACAGCTCGCCCCGGCGCCCCCCAGCGCGCCGGGTTCGGGCTGGGTCCACCGGCCCTATTTTCGGCCCAAGCCGGCGAAAATCGGGTTTCTGGGGCGCGACTGGGCCGTTTTTTCGGCGCCGGCGCGAAAAAATCGCCTGGAGAGGCCTTCCTGGGGGCGCGGCTGGAGATGCCCTTAGCAGCTGTACATTATGGATCTCCTGGAGGCTAGAATTGCCTTTATGCAACTGTAAATCACCCCTGAACTTATGCTCCTCGCGCCGATTTCAGTCGCTCACTAACTTCAGCATGATGGGTACTTCTTCACAGAGGCTGTAGAAGAAACATTGAGGTTCCAGAATTATGTGCTGTGAGCTTGTGAAGCGGTCTGCCTCTTTCAAGTCACATGATTGTAAAGCAAATTTACATCATACTAGTGCATATGATGGTCCGCTCCTCTCCCACCTGGTTGGTGTAGTTACCGAGGTTGAATTGGACGATGCAAGACCTGAGTCCATGTTTTGTGACTTTACAATACCTACGTGGAAAATCTAAATTTCATTCCTCAAAAAGGAAACGAAAGAACGTTCATAAAGGCAAAGGTCTTCACTCCAACCCGAGTTTTCACATGAGGCATGTTTTGTAATACTGTAGGTCTTTCAGATTTGGCTAAACATAAACACGTTAGTGGCTGTCTGAGAACATGATTAGATTTTGTGGTGATTTTACCTCCTCCATTTTCTAGGGTTAGCAAAGCATAACTAAGACCTCCCAAGGAAGAAGAACCCTATGGATTTCATGACCTCTATCTATCCTTGAGATTTGAGGACGACTACCACCAAGACCTCCATAGAGATTTGGGCAAGAACTACCTGTTATTTACCTTTATTTCCTTTGTTGTTTTTGGATCTAAGACGTGACTTGGGTTTTGAGGAGTAATTGGTATGGATCTTGTCCTTGAGTGTTTTCCTCTTATATTTTCCCTTTGACTGCCCTTGATCCTTGTGTTTCTTCTCAAAACACCTCCAATTTCATGAAGATTGGACCACCTTTGCGGCTTGCCCCGTATCAGTGTGCCAACGACAACAAGTGCGACTTGGCATAGGGTTTTCAATGAGTTTCAGATCAATGTTAGTAGTTATCTGCACCACACCGATTGACACGCTCGAGAAATGGTGGCTTACTGCTCACAAGAAGTTTCAATAAAAGGGCAAAAGGAGCTTCGACTCGTTGGTGATTCTCATCCCTTGGCAACTTTGGAAATAAAGAAATGATCGAGTCTTCACTGACCCAAGGCACTCTACGGAGTGGGCATATTGGAATTGGCGGTGCAGGAGGTCTAGACAGATATGTGAGAAGATGGTTATAGTTTAGAGTATTGGTGGGGTGTGTCTTGTGCTAAATGCGCACATTTCGGCGCAAGAACTATTTCAGCGCAAATGGTTACCGTTCTGTAACAAAGCGCAATGTCTAATTTACAAATTAATGAAATGGTACATATTCTCGGGCTAGAAAAACGTGAGTGAACATATAAATATGCTAGTCACTCTCCAAACAAGAAAGGAAAAGAAAATCATATTTTTCCATTATTTAATCATGTCTTCACTAACATACATAATCCGACACTACTGCTGTAATTATTATGCATTGTAGTTATGATTGTAGAAGTACAGGTTCTGCCGACCCAATATGGTTGCCTACTAGTACACCTCAGCAGTCTACTTTGACTTTATTATCCAATTCAGTGAATTCTTCAAAATATGCCTTGAGGTGTTCATACGAGTAGTTGACGTCGTCAACGGCGCACATCTCCCTGATGCTGTGCATGGACAATTGTGGCGCTCCGATATCCACAGTACGAATACCAACACCGCTAGAGAGTATTGGCCCGATTGTTGACCCACAAGCCATGTCGTTGCGAACAACAAAATCCTGCAAAATTAAAGTCATAGCATTGATAGATGAAATAAAGTAAGATGTAATCAGGTACCAAGATCGGCGATTGGCTAAAAATCTGTTACCACCCACCAGTCCAAGAGCTTATCTAATACTCCCTCCGTACAGAAATATAGGAGCGTTTAAACGCTCTTATATTTCTTTACAGGGGGAGTAAGTTGTATTTTTACTTGTTTTTCTAGATGTCGATGCAGTCTAATACCTTTGACTATTGCTTATTCTAATTATATGCTACAGAAATTATTTGTATAATCATATGGGATACAAGCACTTCTGATGTACAAATCAAAGTATTTTTATGTAAAATAGGTTAAAATATTAAAACATAGACAATACGTTTGCTAAAACGACCCGTGTCTTGGTGGAGCTGCCCAGGATATCTGTTTGGTAGAGCTAAAACGACATGCATCTTGGTGGAGCTGCCTAGTATATATGTTTGGTGGAGCTCAAAGCAATGCTTTACTGGGCAAACTTGTTCATACGAATTGGCTCTCCTAATAAGTAGAAAACATTTTATTATTCCTCCTTTTTTTCCACGTGGTCCACTAGATAGTACTCCCATTGTTCCAAATTAATTGAAATTCTAGCTTTGTCCCAAGTCACACTTATTTAAGTTTGACCAGGCCTATAGAGAAATATATCATCATCATCTACAATGCCAATTAACTTAATTAGACTCATCATAAAATATATATTGTTGTTGTTGTTGTCGGTGTGAAAACAACATAAGAGTAGGGGGTATCTTGTCGTTAGTACTCTTATTTTGCAATCACAAAATCAAGTATAAGTTGAGAAGGGCAGTTATGGCAAGCTAATCCACAATTGTAATAGGGGTTCCTCCTTTTTACATGTACTAACCTGGATAGGTAACTGGTGCCTCTCAGCAATTTCTCGGAAAATAAAAGCTGTCACGGCATTTGTAGCATATCGTTGGTTAGCATTGTGCTTAATCACAAGTCCACCATGCAACTTTGGCTGGTGGTTCTCCTCGTGCTTTTCCTGGAAAGATAAATCATTTTCTATTAGAATATTACTGCATACCTGTGAACCCATAAACTGGTCCAAAAATACTATTATTACCATATAATTGGGGTGCAAGGCATGAGCCATATCTGCAGATACAAGGAAACTCCTTTGAATAGCCTTTTCTAGCAACTAAAAAAAATGAAAGCAGATAGTCAGAATATGGAACTCAACTTGGAGCAGTAAACTACACACAATCTGGCATAAATCATTTAAAGTGAAGTTGAATCATAAAAGAAATGTGTATACCTGAGCAGGGAAGGTACTTTTTTAGGAATGAAGAGCTATAGACAAATTAACTTAAAATTGAATTCCATTAAGGGTGTGCAATAACTGTTATAATAATTTTAAATAAATGAATATTATAGGTTGTGCCATGAATGGTTAGCAGATAAGCAGAAACAAAATGATGACATAAAATCAGGTAATGTGAAAAATCAAATCCAGTAGCCAGCTGAAATAAAGTCAGTGGATTGGGTGCTGGGTGAAGGAAGTTAGTTTTGTACCTTGGAATTTGAATGGTTAAAGCAGCCTGTGATTCTTGTTAAAGCATCCAGCATTGCAGGGGAACCGGCTCCCTGAGCCGAATCAGAACCAACCTCCTCATGATCAAATAGAGCCACCATCCTGACGCCAGATTCATTATCAAGAGAGTGGTCAGTAGAAGTTGACTCCACTAGGGCCTGAAAAAGTATTAGACAACTCGTTATATCGGGACTTTGTTGCAAAATAAGGACAGTAATACGTATTTGTTAGAAACTGAAATGTGTTAGCTTCATTGACCAACTACACTTTGTATTAGAATCATAGGGATCATACGCATGTCATGGAACAATTAATATCATAAAGAACAACCAAATTATGATATCAAAATTATAATTAATAGTAATCAACTCTTATCACAATCAGGATTGCAATTCTTGACAAGGTAGGGTTTCTGTGTGGTCAAATCAAGAACGAATCAAAGGTGGGTATATGAGGCAATGTAGAAGCAATGGGTACAATCATCCATAAGAAAATGAGATATTGTAGGGAGTACGAGTATCCAAATCCAGCAACACTATAATAAGCTTCATGAAGTGTTGTTTGGACCTTTGAGGCGTTTTCCCCATTTTCTCCTAAATTGCAGAATCCACACATTTTTGTGTTGTAACATCCTAGGTTTGGGTGTGTGTGACCATCACCTATATAAGCAAGATAAAGACTTGGTGTGTTTCAACATGGATCTTTTTCTTATTTGGATTTTGTTGCGTAAACAAGTAAAATTTTGCAAAGGCAAATTTGGGAACTTAAAAATCACCTGAGTTCATAAAAGGGCATCTTGGACCATGTAATATTTTTTCTGAGATTATTGGCGGCACAAGACTAGCTCAAAATGTTATTAGCACATAAACCCTAAAAACAAGGGTATGTTATTAGCACAAAAATCCTAGAAAACAAATCTTAGCTTAGTTTGGATCCCCCAAAGCCATCTAGGCCGAAAACTCACCAAGTCCCTTCTCAAAAAGTTCGAAATCTGATCAAATCAGTTTTGGCTCGAACTTTGACCAATCTTCTGAAAAATACAAGAATATTCAAACCAGGAACCTCCTAGACATCAAGTTCAAGCCAGTAACTTAGCCCGCAACCCCCTACACAAGTTCAAACCAGGAAGTTGCCAACCATGCACTTCCCAGATTCATACCTTATGTTTGAATTTGAACTCAAATCCATTCGACCAAACCAGCAACACATTAGCTTCTAGAAGCTTGGCTCTGACTAGTGGGACCCGCATGTAATAGTGAATCGAGCCACAGGGCCACACCAAATGCTCCACGACACAGGTAGAGCTCGCGCATGCCGAGGCCACGAGCAGGCGCTCGACCCAATTCACGTGCCTGCAGCACCAGAGGAGGCCGTTGAAGCCCCCTGACACACAGAGGACCAGCCAAACGACGAGGAGCTTTTTCCCCTGGCGCCAGCCCATGTGGTAACTGCCCAACCAGAGAGCTCTGTCATGTGTTGCAGTCGGTGCAAAATCGCACCCGCCAGCCGAGAGGATCTCTCCCTCATGCCGTCCTTATTTTCCCCCACGTCAGCCAAGCCTCAGCTCGCTCCCCTCTCTTCTCTCCCCTACAAACCCACGGAGAGAGCCCTGTCAACGAGCTGGCTGGAATTCATG